GATTCGAACCCGCCACCTTAGGTGTATGTGGCTGGTGCCTTAGCCACTTGAGCCATAGGCGCTGAGTCGAGTTATAGAATTTTAAGACTGCAGTGTTTTGTGTCTGATGACTGACTCCCCCTTTTACTGTCTTTATTGGGTACTCATCCAAGCTACATTTAACTGACTCTAGGGATGAAGATCACTTGGTACATTAATGCTTGAACAATGTACTGTTATAGTCTACTGTTTACTAAAAACAGATCTTTTTTAAAATTTTAATATTATGTTAGATTTGGATCTCTCCAGCCTATTACTGTCTTTGACAATATTCCGAAAGGACATGTTTAAGCTGTTAATATTTTTACAACTACTAGTACCACATCTTAAGGTAACAAGATGATTTCTTTTAATATCGGCCATGTATAGCATCATTTTATTTTTATTTGTTCTCCCAGCTTCAGAGAGTAATAGGATTTGGTCTCCCAGGCTCCTCAGAAATAGGATTTGCTAAATGAACTACATCCTTTTAACATTTACATATACCCTTGGGGTTGAATGAGTTCTCATCACAACCAATGTTAGCTAAAATTTGGAAACTTTAAAAGAGTGAACTTTCATATTTTAAAAAGTAGCCCGTATGGGCCCTTCTTAACTTCTAACTTCTTTGTATCTTTTGTGAAGTTTGGCAGCATGAACTGTATTGGTTCTCAGTGTTAAAAGTATGGGCAAATTAAGTGTTTCATAGCTAAGCTGAAATAGGTTTTTTATATTGCTTTATTTTAATGCCTTTTCTGGGCTTATAGGTATATATTCAGTTGTAGTAGCACATTAGCCAATAGAATTCCTCACTAAGATATTATTTTAAAAGCCTGGCTTTGGAGTCGTTTCCTTTCAAGTTCTTACTCTGTATTGGCAGTAGAAAGCCTACACCTGTCCTTCTTTTCCTTTCTGGCACTGACAGTGTAATTCTCAACACCCTAATAGTTTGCTACTGGTTTAAAATCACCTGCAACTTTGAAGGTGTACCATGTCTCCTTAAAGATCTAAGAATCCAACGTAACTTTCCGTTTTGAAATATGCCTATTCATTCCAACCCTTCATTTGATAAGCAGTTTATATGAGTAAAGCTTTAAGTTCATATGAGTTTTTATGTGCTTTAATATTTCAGGAAATCTCCCCAGAATGGCACTTTGAACTGATGGCAGACAAAGGAATCCCATCGGAGCTGTGGGAGCATTACATAGAACAGCTCAACAGAGCCCAGGGGGTGGCAGTGGAAGACTCAGTTTTACTTGTATTTTCTCTGAAAAATTTTATTTATGCCCTGAAGGCCCCTAAATCTTTCCCTAAAGGTAAGGCATGAGTTGCGAGTCTTTTAAACACGATACTCTGCAAAGCTGAATTATTGACGCCTCCTGATTATTCCCTGGCTTGAATGAAAAATTCCCAGTGTGTTCATCTAGATGGCCATTTCCCTTTCCACTTCCACGTAGATGACGTGTGGTGGAATCCCGAACACCTGGAGGAAGACAGCAGAGACTATCTGCACTTGCTCATCGGGCTCTTTGAGATGATCCTCGGTGGTGCTAATGCCGCTCATTTCAGGATTCTGATGAAACTTTTCATAAAGGTACCAGGTTTATTCCGTCCAGGCATTTTCCTATTAAGAAAATACTGTAGGTTATTTTAGTTATGACCGTTTACAATGAAAATAAAAGTAGACTTTTAAATAGTGAAGACTATGTGATAGTAAGCACAGGCTCTGTAAACCAGCACTGTAATCATGACACCAGTTGATAGGTTGAACAGACTTAATCATTGTTACACCCCTACTAATTATTATATGTAAGAGTCACAATAGCCCAGTCTTGGGCTGGTTAACAGTATTTACAGATGAGAAAACTGATGTTCAGAGAGGTTATTTAGCAAAGTTGCTCAGGAAACTTCCTCCTGGGTCCTAGTGACCTCCATGTTGCTAGGCCTCATATCAGTTCTTGTTTTTGTCTAACTTGTTCTCTCCACGGCATTTGGCATGCGTGACCTTACATCTTCACGGTACGAAGTATGGAATAATTTTAGTGACTAGACACAGCTAACCGTTGCATTATATTATTCCCTTTTTTAAAATTGTACACTAATGGCTCAGCGCCTATAGCTCAACCGGCTAAGGCGTCAGCCATGTACACCTAAGGTGGCGGGTTCGAATCCCCAGCCCGGACCCGCCAAACAACAATGACGGCTGCAACCAAAAAAT